AGGAAGTCTAAACCATAATAGCTTTTCCTTCTTAAAGTTGTTTGATATTGCATTAAGAAATTGCCGACGCAGTTCTAATCAATAAACTTTATTCTCACAAGTGCATTTACTTTTGCTGCTGCCTATAGAATTCTGAACTTTGTTTTTAAAGTTAAATTTATTTTTAGAAAATCCAATCACCCCTTCTTGGGTTGTTCCCATACATATTCAGGACCCACAGAGTATTTCTCATTGCCTGAAGTTGATAACATTGTAAGGTAAGGAAACATATTATTTCTCATTGTGATAACATTTTAGAGTATTCTTCATACCCCACTGATAACAATATTCATAACTAAGGGTTTTACACAGCCCTGACGGTACTGGGGTAGGGATTCCTCCTCCTTCCGCCAAAACAGCTAAAATGGTTGAGGTCAATGCCCGAATGCTTAAAGGATAGGGGTAGCGGTATATGGCCATCATCTAAGGTTCACAGAACCGAAATCGGGTGGTCGAACCGGTCCGAAACTGGAATCGAAACCGGTGGAAATTACGAAAATCGCATCCGAACTAGAGTATATGGTTTGGTTTCAGCTCTAATATTTTGGGAACTTGTAAAACCAAGCGGTTCCAAAATCGATTCGAACGAAACCGGATGGAACCGCGTTCAAACCGGTCGATCCGCGGTTCTAGCCGTTACAAAGATTTGTCAGCAAGCCTTTTTTAAAATTTTTTGTGAAATCTTTAATTACGCCCTCTTCAACAACTATAAAACGGCTATATTAACGGACTAGTTTCAAGGGTATTTGTGGAAAAATGATTTTTTTGGATTTATTATAAATATCTCATTCCATTTCCATTTACACAATTTCCTCACAAAAAATCTCTACTCTCTCTATACACTTCTACTCTATTATTATTCTTTCTCTACTCTACAACCTCGTCTAATTTACATTCACAATTATGTGAATTAATTTATGTTCAAATTCCAATCTCTAATTATTCTCTCTTTTTTCTTTATTCCAATTTCCAAATTATATATTATTTTCACTATATAATGGCAAGTGGAAGAAAAGCTCACAAATTCTGCTTAAGGGCAAGGGAAAATTGGAGAAACACAATATTTCATCTATCCCTACCAAACAATATCTTCGATTTCACTCTCAACGATTTTAATTTTGAGGGATATCCAATATGAAATTATGGGAAATTCCACACCTCAAGAATCTGAATTTAATAATGGAGACAATTTACAACAAAGAGGAAAAGTGAAAGAGCAAAAGTAAGGTAACACCACTTCTTCGAAGAGCAAATACAAAGTTCCGACCATATTCGCCTATTCATTTTACGAAAAAAATTCATAAGGTGACAAAAGGTTCGAATGTTATTTCCAATTATTGTGGAAAATTCTTATAAATTTAAAACCCAATCGGGTACTATGGAGTCATTTTTGAAGCATTTGGGAGACAAAAACATCCAACCCAAAATAGGAGTTGATCCGGTCTGCAAACCACAAAATTTCTGGGTACGCATCCAATCTAACATTTCTTTACATATTTCCTAAAAAAAAAATAAAAAGAAGAATTAGCAAAAAGATTTCTATAGAACATTTATCTTTTAATTTTGGTCGAAAAAGTAGGTTTTAATCAATATTGTCAAAAAGCTTTTAAATCCTTTTTAGCTAAAAGTAGTTGACAAGAAATTACTGTAAAAAGAAACTATTATTTCTTGTATATAAAAAAAGAAAAAAAAGTCAGCCGCTTTTATTTTCTGAAAATGAAAAAATTTGTGTTTTAATTGTGTTGATTGACTTATTTGGTTGTGATCATTGGACTAACTGAGTCATTGTCTTATTAGTGTGGCATTACATGTCATTGGATTAGATAATGATGGAAAATTCAAAAAAAGGATTATTGCTATTTCATACTTTTTGATGATAAACATACTGTCAAATAATACTTTTAGAATAATTGTTTCAATTTAGATAGAGATATAAAGTTGACAAAAATTTTTCCAATTTCATTGATAATGCTTCTGCTACACTAAATCAAGTTATTGAACTTAAAAATATTTGTGAACCAAATATTGCTGGAAAATTTTTTCATACAAGATGGTGCTTGCCATGTTTAAATTTATGTTGTACAAGATAGTTTTAAAAAATTCTTGAATCTTATATCTCCAATTTAAAAAATCTATTTCAATATTTATGGGACATCCCCAAGTGATTGAAAAAGTGGGCTAAATTTTGTAAGAAAAAATAATAAAATACCAAAAACATTTTCAAGAGATGTCCCCAACTCATTGGAAATTCAACAATAATGAATTATTAAACGAGTCCTTTTCCGTATAAAGAATTAGTGTGTATTTTGTTACTAATAATATTGCAAGAAGATTAATTTATATCCACCAAAATGAATATTGAGTCCCAAACAATTTATACAGGTGACTGTGTGACACTTACACAGGATATCTCAGTATCATGATGTAAAGAGTGATGAAGATATCATATAGTTGGATTTCATATCCCACATCTCATTTCATCTCTTTATACTTATGTGTTATTTAATATGTTTAGTGCACTCCAAGTTTTTGAAAATAATTTCATTATTAAAATATTCTGTTTTTTCAATGAAAAAAAATGGTTATCTTATTTTAAAAAGTAACATACCCCTTATCTTGTGCTTATTGTATTTATAAATTCCTAAATGTAAAATTTGAAGTTTTATGCTGAATATTTGACTATTTATTATGAATTATAAATCTTGATATAGAAGATAGTTGTTAATATAAATGTAGTATTGATGAAGTAGACAACAATATATAGAATTATATGATGAATTCATTCAATTTTCTATTTTCATCTACTTCTAATTCTTCTCATTCAATAATCAACAATTTCCAACTCAAAAGGGTAAGTAGTGTTGGTGTTGAACGCATTTTTACTACAAAGACAAAAAGACTAATGGGAAATCCGGTTCTTTTTCTTGAATTTGATAATTATCTAAACACTTATTTCGGAGTTTGGTGATGATTATGCAGATAATAATTTTTCCAATTTTACGTTGGTAGAGATCGTCACGCCAATACATTTCTAATACTTTCTGTTAATTGCAAAACAAGTGTTTAGCAGTTCGGTCTCTACTGTTGTAGTTGCAATAAGCTTTTAGTCAAGGAAGGAAACATACTGTTATGAAACACGATCTCCTATAGACACCCAATTCACTAGAAAGCCAACAATCATGCGTGGATGATTGGAGCCTAACGGTCGAACTAAGTAACACCAAGAAAAATCTAAAAGAAAATGAAGATTTATATGATCTTACGATGGGCCTATCAACGGGAACATCAACTGGTAGTGGAAATAGCAAATAAGGTAAAAGGGGTGAAATTGGTACAAGTAAGTAAAAATTTACATGGGCTTTGATTCCTCTAAACTCCAAGGAGATACGTAGGCAACTTAATTTTTTAAAAAAAAAAAACTAAGTCAGAGCCCTTTTTTTTTTAAAAAAAAAAAAATTATGTAACTTAATTTTTAAAAAAAAAAACTAAGTTCAAGCCCTTTTTTTTTTTTAAAAAAAAAAAATTATGTTCCAAATTTTTTAAACAAAAAATAAATTTAGCTGAAGACTTTTTAAAAAAAATAATTAAGTTCAAGTCTTTTAAAAAAAATAAATTTAATTGAAGCATTTTTTTTATTTTTTTAAGTGTATTTTCTTTGAGAAATAATTTTCACAAATTTTTAAATTTTGAAAATCGGTGTTCAAAATTTAAAATTATGCGATTCGCCAGAAAACCGATTGGAGATCCGACCGGAATCGTTGGTTTTGGAACCGTTAAGGAATCGGAACCAAAAATTTTTGGTTCGGTTCCGGTTCCAAATTTTTTGGAACCGAAACCGGCGGTTCCAAAACCGTAGCCATGCCTAGATAGGGGTCGACGAGTCATAGTGTCTGGTAAAAATTAGGGTTACAAAAAAGGAGGCGTGCTAAGAGATCAGACTAAAGCCATCAATACAACTTCTGGTTTTTCTAAGTTATTTTATTAATGTGAAAAGGTGTATCCCTACGCTCCTTTATTGTTATGCATGACGTACAAGACCATTTAAAATTCCAACATACTTTCAAGATTATCACTTAAACTCAAGATAAATTTTACTATTCCAAAAACTGTTATTGTTATGCTAATACTTGTTCTTTATATCTCATTCAAAATTATAATTATGAAAACTTATCTTCTTCATTTTAAAGTTTAGTCTATCACTTTCTCTAATTTTTGAACCAAACTCTTATTGTGTGGCTATTCAATTTGATTATTAGAGTACTATGCAAGACCAACTTGTTGCTTTAGAAGAAAATAAGACGTAGACAATTATGCCTTTTCGTCCAGGAAAAAAAAGCAATAGGATGGAAATGGGTTAACAAAATTAAGTTTGAAATGGTTCTACAAAAAGGCATAAGCCAAACTAGTGACCAAAGAATATAATCAGAACGAGGGAGTTTGACTATCAAGAACCTTTAGCCTAATTGCAAAACACACAACCATTAGACTATTTTTAACTTTTGCAACAACCGAAGGTTGGCATCTTTCTTTATGAGATCTCATTGAAGATATCTATATGGATCTTTTTAAGAGGAGATTCATGGAAATAACAAATCAGAATTTAGTATCTCAAATACTAATGTAAAATTGGTGTATATATAAACTATTATAGTGTTAAATAAATCCATAAAATCATGAAATTTTTGAAAGTAAGAATCCCCTAGCATCCAGCAGCAAATCCACCACATAAAGAGAGGGGTCGACTGACTTTTTTTTAAATTTTTTAATAAATATATGTTTATCTAAATTAATCCATAAATTTTAATTTATTTATCTTTGACCCCTATTTTTTTAAAAAAATTATATATTGAAAATATTTCTAGATTCGCTTCTGCTTACATTAGTATGAGAGTTTAAAATCTTGATGTCGGCTCTTCACCTCTAGATAAATTTGCTATAAGATTCTACGGAATATAAACAACTTCTTCGGAAGCAGATGTATTTCACATTGACAAGATCGGATATACGCTATACAGTGCAAATACTTACATAATTTATGGATAGACATGCATACATACATTACAAGCAGCATTCTTTTCATTACCATTACACATGTATAACAATCAGTGTAAATGGAAATGAAAATGCAAAATAAGAAGTGAAAATTCTGGGCATAAGAAGAGCATGCTCTTGGCTTGCACAAAAAAAATTAAATTTTACACATACCTATACAATAATCATCATCTCATGAACTGGGAAGACCTTCTGCGAATCATAGACATATAGTCACACATGACCATAGTACAACTAAAATCGAATCTCTCCATTGGTCTTGAAAACATAAGATCCTGCAATAACCAAACATTTTGCGAAAATCACATAAACTTAGTCAATTCACAAAAAAATTTCAAAATTGAAAAGGAAATATGAGGAATGTTGGCCATGGTCACTCTTCAAAGTGATTGTCTAACACTTTTCTTTTATTGATTGAAATTCATTTATTGTTCCTGAACACAACTTGCTACCTATTGTAACACGTAAATTGAGAGAGAAAAGGTAATTTTTTTTTTTTTTGATTATTTTTTATAATAAGTAACAAGATACCTTAAGAAATAACAAATGCATTTCAACTAATAAAAAAGAGTGTCACCCACTAAGGCATAGAAATCACAAATGCATTTCAACTAATAAAAAGGAGTGTAAAACAATTATTTTGAAGAGTGAATGTGGTTGGCAATGTTCTGAGAAGATATGGGTTCTGAGAACAATATATTTTTAAATATATTAATTAAATGCAATTAAAAATATAGGTTACAAAAAATTTTGATATCAAATGAAAAACTGTCTAAAATTTGGATTTTAAAAAATAAATAAAAAAGAAGAGTAAATAATTTTATATTAAAAAAGGATAAAACATGACTAAATTTAATGTTAAATAAAAAAAATTAATTATCATAAAATATAATATTATTTTTCACATTTGGCCTTCAAATTTTGATTAACAAATTAAGACTTTGAGCTTAGAAATAAAGAGGCCCAAACACTAAAAAATTAGTAGCCTTACTTGTAAGAATTCAAATTTTAAAGTGACTCATATCTTGAGAAAAATTCAAAATTTGAATTGAACCGTACTAACTACTGGTCCGGTTCATCGGTTTTCATCCGATTTTACCAGTTTATACTGATTTTTGAAGATGCCGATATTATTGTTCAATCCAAACAGACTACAGTATGGTTCTCGAGTCAACCGGTTTTCAGAACAATAGTTACTAGCATTCCTCAATAAATTATTTAAAATTGTATAATTACCTAATGTAGGCATGAGAAAGGAGAGTGCTGCAATACCAACAATCTTGAGTGGCAATCCAGTCTTTATCATATCTTTAATCTCAATATGTCCCGTAGTGAACCCTACGATATTTGAAGGTGTTCCAGTTGGGAGCAAGAAAGCAAATTGTGCACCAATTGCTCCAGGAACCATGAGAAGCAGAGGATGCACGTTCATGGTTTTTGCAATTTGGATGAGTAAGGGAACCAGTAGGGTTGTAGTGGCATTATTGGATGTAAATTCAGTAATTGTTGCACTTATTAGACAAACAAGAGGTGCAATGGCTACGTATGGGGCTTCCTCCAGAAAGTCCAAGGCTTTTGATAAGACATCCGCCAGCCCACTAGACCTTACTCCATCAGCAATGGCAAAACCAGCTCCTAGTAGCAATATTATATTCCATGGTAGCTTCTTGCATTTGTTCCAATCCATCAATTTCTCCCCCTTTCGCTTCTTGTTTGGAATTATGAATAGTAATGTTGCCATCATAACCTATGTAAAAATTACATGATTCGATTAGAAATAATATATCAAAATATATCATGACAGTATGAAAACGAGATTTAGGTCATATGTTCTGTAATATTAGCTATTTTAGTAACTATTAGTTGTTGTCAATTGATTTACTAAATATTATTGTTAGTAATTAGTTATTTAAAGCAAGAGTATTTAGTAAAAATATTTATTTGATTAGCTGGCAAATGTGAAATAATTAAAGTAAATTCAATTAATTGTATGTAATGTTAAAAGTTAATGGAGATAACCTTTAATGAACACTCCTTTAATTTTTAAATGCTACTATTATTATAATACGTTATGCAAAACACTAAATTATCTTTAAAAGTTATTATTTAAGTAGTTTAAAGATAAGCAAATTAGTTCAAAAATATCTCTAATTATGAATACCAAAAATTATCCCTAAGCATAGCGTTATAATTATTTTTATACTTTGGTACCATATAGATTTTTGAATTAGAAGGCTCAACTCTAATTATTATTTGATTTGTATAAATTTATGGCTTAATCCACAAAAATACTCTCATTGTTGCAGAATTACCCTAAATCTATCTTTATACCTATACACCTTATTTTGAAAATTACATATATTAGCACCCTAAAACTATATTAGGTTTAAGAATGTAAATTAATATAGTGTGGGACTCATATTAGAACCTTGGGTTAACTTAATACAACGAGCTAAAACTCACCGTATTGAAACCAAATGAACCCACCCTTTTCTCTCTCTCTTTTTCTTTCTCCTTCGATAGAGCTTGCATTCCTCATTTTGAAAATAGCAAAAAAAAAAAAAAAAAAAAAAAAAAAAAAAAAAAAAGCAAAAAAAAAAAAAAAAAAAAAAAAAAAGATAAAGCAAGTGGGCAAAAAAAAAAAAAAAAAAAAAAAAAAAAAAAAGATAAAGCAAGTGGGCAATATTGATAGCACCTTGCCTTCATCCTCAGTTTAAGTAGAAGCCTCAAAATAGTGGAACAAAAAATCAGTTGTCAATTTAATTATCACTCACTCTTTCTTCATCACCAATCAAATACCCATTGAAAATTTAACCCAAACACCAAACAATCACAAGCACCACACCTGAGAAATAGAAAATTAAGAAAACACCAAATTGATCCTTCTTATTTATCCTGTTGATTGTTGAAGGACATAACTTTTTTCAGAAGATTAAAAATGGAGATGACGGATGATTGATGATTTAATGTAGAAAGAGATGTTGTGGTTCATATAAGAGCGAAAGATTCAATATTGATTAGAGATAATGTTAGTAGCCATGGGAAATGAAAACTATTTAGAATGAGAGAGAGGAGAGAGCTTCAGCTAGGGGTAAGATTAATTTCTGTTCTTCATAGATCAATTGATAATGGTGGGTTCAGATATGCAGCGGTTGTCGATCTAGTTGAGGGAGAAAAGAATAAGGATTTTGAGTTTTAATTGAAATAGTGTGCTTACTGACTTATGTATGATTGAGCTTGAGTTAAATTAACTCCAGGTGAGATGGTGGGACACTTTTATATATTTTATTTAAACTAATGTTAGCACCCGTGTGCAACGCCCAGACGAGTATTAAAACATGAAATTATCTTTTATAATATCATTTAAAAATAATAAAATGATATAAAATATATTATAAATATCCGAATCTATTTAAATACCCGATTAGAAATTAAATATCCGAACATATTTAGAAATTCATCTTTAATAACCGAATCCGTTCTGAACCCGATTATAATTATCTACTAAATATACTCGTTTACATTAAAAATATTTTTTTTATTTTTCGTTTACAATTAAAAATATTTTTTTTATTTTTTTAAAAAATAAAAAAAGTATTTTAAAATAAAATTATATTTTGATTTAGATAAAAATAATAATATAAATATTAATCATAATTTTGCATTATTTATAATTAAAAAGGTATATAAATATATATATAATATACCTATATATATATATAGTTATAATATAATTAATATATATATATATTAAATTTTTCTTCAGAAAGAATTAATTATTTTAAATTAATTTTTAGCATATTATTAAACGGGTAGTGGGTACTCGAGTCATTGAATCTGATCCGACCAAATACGGGTAGTAAAAAATCCTAATTTGAGCATGTTCAAATCTGTTTATCTCACTACTCAAATCCGATAATTTTCTTCAGAAAAATAATTATTTTAAATATTTTTAGCATATTAATTAAACGGGTAGTGGGTACTCGAGTCATTGAATCTGATCCGAACTCAATACGGGTAGTAAAAATACTATTTGAGCATGTTCAAATCTGTTTATTCACTACTCAAATCCGCCAAAATCAGATCGGATCTGATCAAGTACCCGCCGGGTCAGATAAAATTGTCATCCATAATTAAGATATACTTTCTTAAGTATCCTGCGAAACATTTCATCAATAATAGCAAAATTTATGTATAGTATGACCTATTTCAAAGATTCACACACAATATTAATGTATGTTTCAATAGTGATAATAATTTTGAAAATTTAACTAATTATATTAAAATAAGAAATTAAGTACTTTTTTATTTGTAGGTTTATGATTTATTATAAATGATTATTTATTTATTTGAAATATTAATGGATTACTTATTAAGTGTAATGCCTTAAGCATGTGGATGTTCTACTTGTTTAAAAATTATCACACAATGCACATTTGCGTATTTCGTGTCCCATTTCTCATGTCCATGTAATCTAGCTACTGGTATATGAGACTATTCTATACACTAAACTAATTGACCAATGTTTTTTTTAATTACCAATAAAAAATAAACTTATTTTTTATTTTTTAATGTTATCACCGAAATTACGTGTCAAATGTGAATTTGAAAAATGAACAATACTTACACTGACAGTTCCATCCCCAGCACGGCCATTGAAGAGAGCTCCCCAACCAGGAGTTTCATCTGTTAAGCTTCTTGTCATCCATAGAACTATTAACATCTGCAATTAAATTAAAATTAAGAGCCTTCCTCAAAATTAAGAATACAGTTAGCAGTTGTTATTTAAGTCACTAACCCCAAATATGGCTAAAATCATCTTTTCAGCAAAAGCCATTGGACCTGCATGTCCTCATCAAACAAACAAATTGGTGCTTAATTATTAATTATTAGGAAAATGCATTAAGCACAAAACAGATTGTTATTTATTAATCTTGCTTCCTAAAAATTGAAAAATGATTTAAAAGAATATTTTTATATAAATAAATACAACTTATCTTATTTATTGGTGATTCTCTAGATGAGAGAGAGAGAGAGAGAGAGAAAGAGTCAACGAGTACCTGAGAGAGCATTTGGTTAGTTCTGTCATTAAAAAAATTAATTTAATTTTTTCTATCAAAAGAGAATATTTAAAAAACCAAACTTGTTCTTACCTAGCATTTGTAGTTCTCTTTTAAGATGAGCTCTATCCAAGTAAGCAGATAGGACTTGCCCAGAACCCTTTGAGCAATACAATAGACAAAGTATGGCCCACAAAGCAAAGAAGATAATCAAAGCCAGGGGAAATCCAAAAAACAACCAAGTACTAAAACTGATTGGATCTGCCAAAGGAAAATAACTCTTCCACATCCCCACCAGTATCAGATTGACACCTGTCCCAGTTAACGTGCTCATCCCTCCAACAGCTGCAGAGTATATTACCCCAAGCACCACTGCCTTGCAGAAATTTCGCACTACATTATTTTGTGCTTGGTTGGGACCCATCGGAAGCCGCTGTAAGATTCCAGTCGCGACAGGCATCATCATCACCGCTGCCGCCACGTTGTGCATCCACATGCTGACAAATGCTGTGGTTCCGCAAATGCCGAGGAGGAGCAGCTGTGGATTTAGTGGATCTCCACAGAACATTTGGGTTATCTGCAATATTATTAGTTAGCTCTCAATTGCATGTTCAAACATTCCAATAATTCAAGTTCAAAAACCTCGTATTGGTAGACAGTCTTATTCTTCTAGATTCTGTTTCTTTCTGGCAAAAACATAATATGAACATGAATATTCTCCTCAATATGTATCTCTCCCCCTTTTTTTTTTCTCCTGAAAAATTGATTTGCAGCTAATGACAGGTAATTAACCAAACCAACTAGCGTAATTTCTGCCAGTTGAAATTGTTTGATAAACCAATTAACGGCAACAACTTGCAACGTTGTACCAGAAGATACAAAAGTTTAAGAAAACCAATATCCAGCCCGACCAATCTCTCAATAATTTTGTTTTTTTTGAAAAAAAAAAATCCACTTTCTACCTTTATTCAGGGATTAACCAATTTAAATTCCTGAATTTTATTTCCTTAAAAAACAAAAACATCCTGAATTTTCCAAAAACAAAAATACTAGTGATAGATGCTTTGCAAAAGAAGAATTATTCATAGAACTAAAAAGAAATGGGACTCACGTTTAAGGCCAATCTCCTGTGAATGTTATAGTGCTCTACAGCAAGAGCCAAGATAAAGCTTCCAAGAACAAGGGCAATCACATCATCCATATAAGATTTGGCCACATTATCACAAGAATCAATTTCAAACACGGGAAATAGAAACAGAGGTGTCATTGAAGTAATCGGCATAGGCACAGCCTCCGTCAGCCACCAAGAGAACATCCAAGCAATAATAGCTAACATATTCCGGCTAGCTACCGGAGCACCGTTTAGCTTCACTAACATGCATATTATAGCGCTCAAAAGGGGTCCTAACAGGATGTAGAAATTTCCTGGCGTGAGAAGGGAGCTCACAGATGAGGACTGATCAAAGCTTTGTGACCGTTGAGCTACAGGATTTTCGACTGGTAGAAGTGGAGCCTTGGGGTCATCGGAGATTTGATCGGAGGTATTATCACCTTTCATTTTGTTCAAGTGGGTTCGTTGAAGAATTTGCTACGGACGTTCATTATATATGAGAATTGTACTGTAGATAGTCAGCTGAGGTGGCTCTACTATATATGGATTTATTTTTCTTCAGTATTACTATATATGGATTTATACATGAATATGAAAGGAAGGAAATAAGTGGACAAATTCTCTCTCCTTTCTTTATTAATAATAATAAGTGGACAAGTTCTCTCCCCTTTCTTTATTAATAATTATGCTTTGTAACCCGATATAAATGGGTCTAGTCGTGGAAGTGCATCAGATTTTAATTCGACAATTTCAAAACAATCGGGAAATGTACTCTCTCATTTAACTGTTAAGCGGGAGTTAGAAAGACACTCTTAATAATATAAAATCAATGTCTTTGAAATTGGAAGAATGATGATTTACGAAAATTTAATTGATTTGATTCAAATCGAATCGAATAAATTCAAAATTTTTTAAAGATAAAATGAAATTAAATTAAATCGAATATGTTCAATTCGATTTAATTTTAATTATATTTAAGCGAATCTATATTTATTTTTTAAATTTAATAGAAATTAAATTAATTTTTTCTATTAAAATCACAATCAAATCGAATACATTAAAAATTAACAAATGAAATCGATATGATTAATTTTATTATACTGTGTGAAGCCATATGTGGAGGTAGCTAATTAATATTCATTCATTATTTGTCATACACGGTTAACTTATGCGTTAAATAAAACAAAACAATGACATTAAAAATTTATGTGTGCATCTTTTGGCGATAAGAATGACATGAAGATGCCTGGTCAATATTTCAACTCTTGTTTTATGATAATATTTATCACTAAAATCATTTTCAAATTGAATTAAATATTTTAATTCAATTCAAATTATATTTTTTTAAGAAAATTGGCAATTCACTAATAAAAATTAACATGAGTATGTCATAATATTAACATAATACAAATAAGAAATATAAATATAAATAATTGAAATCTTTTGATAAATATAATCTTGAAGAAGAAATAAATTTTATGAGTAAAAAAATTTTTTTTTTTCCAATATTAGTACAAAAGAAATTTTCTACAATTTTATGTCATTGAAGAAATTGAAATTTTTAAAAATTGAAAAACTCTCATTCTAGGGTTCAGGATTTGGATATCACATATATTACCCGTTGAAGGGGATTTAAATTAAATAATTTCCAATATTAGCGTAGATGTTATATTGTTTTATTAGTAAAATATGTAAAGGGATGGTGAATATATTTTGAACTATGCTGACATTAAAATACATTATTTTGGTTTGAAAATAATATTTTTCTTCATTAAAAGGCTTACTAAGACGTGGAATAATATTATGAATTATACAATAGAAATAATATTTCTTGGCTCACTAAATTGATAAAAAAATTTTTGATATAAGAATTTTAATTTGATATCTTTCACTTTTCACATTAATCAAAAAACCAACTAAATTATATCCGAATTAAATATAAATAGTTATCAGTTGCATATTTAGGTTAAATAAAATGACAATTACTATCTAAGTTTCATATTATTTGTCACATTTGAAAAAATAGTTTGTTTCAAAATCTTGTAAAATTTATGATTTCAATGAGTAATATTTTTTTTTTATATTTACCCTTTATATATAATCAATAATTATTAATTCAATTTACAGTTTGTTTAAAGATCTTGTAAAATTTATGATTTCAATGAGTAAATTTTTTTTTTTAATATTTACCCTTTATATATAATCAATAATTACTTAATTCATTAATAATTTTTTTTAAAAAATTAATATTAAATTAAAAATAATATAAATTAATTTGCTCAAGTAATTTATCATAGAATTTAAAATAAATTTACTAAAATTATTAATTCAATTTAATAATTTTTTTAAAAAATTAATATTAAATTAAAAATAATATAATTAATTTGCTCAATAATTTATCATAATTTAAATAAATTTAATAAATATTTTTTGAAAGATGTGAAGTTCGCCAGTATTATATTACAGAGAGAAAGCAGCCATCAAGTGTCAAGTAAATAATTGATGGCTTAAAAAACAAGAAAAATGTGAGGAGAGTGGTGTGTGTTGAGTGGATGTGGACCACAAAATGAAGAGACAAGGCCACGCCTTGTGGTTCACAATTTTTTTAAGGTCAATAATCAGTCAATTATTGGGTTGGATATATGAATTATTGACTAGGAATCTAGGATAACGGATATGGCGGTTGTACAGTGCCTTCGAAATTGTGAAGGCGATTCCGTTTATTCGCCACGTCACCAAAATTTACATTCCATTCTAGAGTAATAAACTTTAGTTATAGTTAGCAACAAAGGCCAATTTAGCACCCCTAAGAAAGATTAGATTTGAACTATTAATAATTTAGTGTGGAGCTTATTTAAAATAATTGAAAGCTTTAGATTTCATTGAATTTATTTTAATTTTTATAAATTAATAAACTGATTGAATTTACCAGTAACTCTTAAATTAAATTTGTCCAACACTTATAAATAGGAGGTTAAAATCTATAAATATTCTATACGTAACTTGTTCAGATTAAATATAAATTTTTAATTTCATTTGAAAATAAGTTATTTTAAATTGTCATCGCTATGAAATAATTTGATGGTAAAATAACGCACTATAAGAAAATAAAATATTAGCGAAATTAGATTTTACCATCAAAATAGCAATAAAATATTTTTGATGCTAAAACCCTTATCGCTATTTTTTACTGACAAAAACCACATTTTATTGGTAAATTAAAGACAAAATTTTAAAATTTTTGTCAGTACTATAAAATAAAATAGACAAAATTTGTAGGTATTTTGTTGGAATTCTTGGAGCTAATTTTGTTACTGTTTTGTTGGTAAATTGTCTTATTTTGTCGTTAGATTTATTTGTTAGGTTGATAAAATGAATTTATTTTGTTGCTAATTTAACACTATTTTGTCGCTAATTTCAAAAAGATTTAAAAAATTTTTCCTCAATTTATATAATTGACATGCTTTATATATAACATCAAAACATGTAATAATCAACAATTCCAATTCAATATTTAACACCACATACCATAATACACCTGCAATATATTTATAATATCTCACAATTAATTCAGCAAACATGTTCGATACTGTATTAAAATTACAAAGACAAAGGAAGAAAAGAAAAAGGTCTCTCAACATCTAGTTATATGTTTTTAAATGTTTAAATAGAGATGATACTAGTTTATTAGGATGGCTACTAATCAAGATTTTCATCTCGATCATCCTCTGCATCATTTGTAGTCCGATCAGCATGGAATCCAATGATAATAGATGCATCAAAACGTCAAGCGGGCCTAACTGTCGCAGTAGGAGGTACAGTAGAATAAGTGGAATTAGATGGAGGAGTTATGAAGGTCTATCTCAATTGTATCTGAAGATGCTGATGAATCTGTGCAAGCATATCAGACTGTTGTTGCACCAATCTCTCTAATGTGGATATCCTTTCTTCCTAAGCCCAAGATGACTCACTTGTCTCCATAGCTGAAGATGAAGCAGATGACGAACATTGACCAATACCTGAGTAGTAACTCGATGACTGAGTCCCAATGCCATATATTCGCCTATAACGTCCTCCTGTAGCTTGAATGAAAATTTCTCTGTTATCCTGGATTTGTTGTTTTGAATCTTCTCCTGTTTAGCGTTGAGAAGTATTATCCATCTGAGATTGGTAGTCCTTCTTCCATCAATAATCATAATTTAGCATTTATAAATGTTATATTATGTAATAATAAGTTGCATTTTAAACATTCTTGCATCGACATGTTAATTAACAACAAGTTCAGAGTGAAATTTAATGAACTTACAAATACTTGCTAGGACCGATAGTCAATAAAATCATGATCAACATCGTTTTTCTTTTTTGTATGTAGATGATAAAGCTCTCCCAAGGTAGGTTCATTTCTAGTCTCTACAATCTATATAATACAAAACAACAATTATAAGTTATATATATACACACACACATTCTATAATAATGAAATAGTTTTTTTTTTTTTTTATTAGGTAGAATATTACCATGTTTTCTTGATGCTCTAACGCAGATATGGATCCTCTAGTATGAAGAGACATATCAGATCCTTCATCATCTTTCTCTGACCTGCGGTTCTTCAATAAAATCTCCGACTTCTTAATAACTCAAATCTTTTCCAATATTCACTCCATTTTTCCAAACATTATCCTTAGCATATGGTTTCTTTCCCTCTTGCTTTAAGTAACTCAAAAGATCTGAATATCTCAATGCTGTCTGTTTTTCCCATACAATCTTTATGGATGCATCAATTGCTTTGTCCTAATCACAACTTTTCTGAAATTTAGAATAAGTAATCAAGTTTCTTAAATACTATCAGTTCACATAATATAAAAATTAAAAATACATTTGAAAGCAAAATCTGATAAGAATTTCATAACTTGCACATTAAAATGTTGATCGCGACTTATATGTATAAGTAATATAAACTTATATGTATAAGTAATATAAATAAAAACTCTATGAAATATTTAATATATAAATATAATTAAACAAAATTATCACAGGATCTTAATAACCTGAATAAAAATATATTATACTATCCATTGCCCGTGAACAGAACATTAAACAAGCACCAAGCATGGATTATTTAAATACTATCTTTCTTTATAGCATTAAAAAAAAAAAAAAAAAACCTATGCAATAAATTGTTTAGAGCATATGTTTATAGCTGAAAGTGAAACTACAGGCTACAAGTACAGGAGTAAGGATTGAGACAGAGCAATGAACTGAACACTAGAAATAGTTAAATTGGCGACAGATAAATAAATTGCAGCTACGCTTTCCTTTTTACGATTTAAATACTATCTATTGCCTGTACTATCTATTGCATAGCATTTTGATTCCAAGCACCAAGCACGGACACACACACACACACACACACGCACACACACACACACACACACATATATACAACACAACACACACACACACAACGCACCACACCAACACACACACACCATATATATATATATATATATATAATATATAACTAATATATATTATTATGTTGTGAAATTGGGATTAAAAAATAGCCACTTGGTTGGCTGGCAGTGAATAACCAAATAAGGGAACAAAATCCCTGAACACAGAATACAAGAAGGGGTTCATCACTTAGGAACTTTATATATATTATTTGTGAAATTGGATTAAAAAATAGACCCACTTGTGGCTGGCAGTAATAACCCAATAAGGAAACAAATCCTGAACACAGAATACAAGAAGGGTTCATCACTTAGGAACTTTAATTTTTATGTGGAGACTAAGAAAGCCTTAGCAGAAGGACCACTTAGCCAGAAACCAGCTTTTGGTTAGTTTCACATGTTTAGAGTCAATGACTTTCTCATCTGTTGGATTTCACTTTAAGCTGTTGAGGTTAGGCGTGATTGGTAAGACTATTTCTGTATAAAATTTTGGCCTAAACTTCTGCAATTGAAGTATTGGGAAGTGCATTTGCCATATCAGTTCTTACAGGCAAGGTGAACCACTGTTTTTCTCAAATCAGCTGCTTATTCAGTCTTATTATGCCCAGGAGCTAGAAACGGTAAAGCAACTATATATAGTAGCAATGTCCGATGAAGAATTGCTCAGTGCTTCAAGAACGTTATTTTCTGCATTTCCTCTTGTATGAGGCAGAAATTAAGCACGATGAAGAAGGATACAATTTTTTTTAGTTTTGATTCCAATTGTTTCTTAACCATTCAATTAAAACTAAATTGGGCTATTTTATAAGATTCATATCCAAAACGCAAAAATTATCATTATCACAAACTTGTCTTCCGTTTGGAAATATTACTGATCAATGTCAACTAAACTCAGGCGTATTTCATAGACGAATCACATATATATATATATATATATATTGTTTTTCTGACATTGTAAAAGTAAAAACCAATTTGATAATATTACAGGCAGAAACTTGACGTGTTATCTTTACAATCCAAGTATCCATCACAACATATCCACAGAACATCTTTCTTTCTTTCTTTCTATCTAATATTACAGGCAGCAACTTTCATGAAATATACACATGCAGCTTGATACTTGAATTTTCTGAACAAATTCAGGATTATAGTCCAACTGTGATCGTCACACTTAGGCCGTAATATAAAACCTTCCAATTGCAGTTCGTAAACAATCAACCAACGAGAACAAACATCAACCCATTTTTATTTACATCATTGAGAGCTCTCAACCAAAATATCCAAATTCCTTGCAATGTGGAAACTTTCTGCAAATATCAGTTCCATTAGACCCTGCAAAATAGAAAACCACATTATTCTAAAATTACATAATGACCTGTAGTCCTGTTAAGATACTACTTTTCCCATGTTAATCAACAAAAGAGGAAAACATTAATAGAAGAGAATTGAACAATTCACAATCTACAAGAGCAACCAACTACTGAAGCTTTTCTCTCGTGTAACTTCTCTCTTCTCCCATACAAATTCTTAAACCCATACCAGATGGCATTTTTGCTACCTAACCACCAAGCCAACTAATAAGGCAGGTTAAGCTTTTACTCCTCTTCAATCATATGAAAATATGGCAAATGGGAACAAGTTACGTGTCTCATGATGAATTATTCAATTGCAATGAAGCCACTAGACAGGAAGTAAATAAAATTAATTCAGAATGTCAATTTCTAATATGTTGTTTGGGAATCCTATAGTAGCCACAAACCTGATCCATTACTAATAACAATATCCTTAGGGCATATATATGTATTAATAATTGTCATTCGTATTAGTAAAATATAAAGTGACATTGAACAATTCCTGTTCCCTTCACCCTTTCTTTATTCTCTATGTTTTCAGCCCTTGCAGCTTTTCTATTTTTGGCTTTAAAAAAAATAAAATGCTGGGACTCACAGGCTATTTTCTGCCACAAAAAATCCTTTTGTTTTATCAAATGCAGAATCTTTGCACAGGTCATGTAAATATATACTGTTACGTTAAATAATACAAAGATATGGGGTTTATGCCATAGTAATACAAAGAATCATATTAGTGGTATATTTTATTCTAATATTCTTATGCCATAGTATCTTCCAAATGTCAATTTCTAATGAAAATATAGGGAAAGAACGTTGTTTATCCGTTCAAGAGATCAATTATATTCTCATTTGGCAGAACAAACAAAAATAAGACCAATCAAGCCACTTTTCATTGTTCACCATCCAAAACATTCACAAACCGGACTTCTACATAGAAACCATTGAGCTTTTGATAGACTTAGTAGACACACTTCATTTTACTCATCTGAAGATCTTGAAACAAATCAATGGACATGCTAATAAACAAAGTAAATGACAAATGTTCCTAAAACAGAGGAACACAGCAACAGGCATTCTCAATTTGCAACTACAGTTAATTTACTGTTTTAAATTGATTGCAAAACATACCATGAACTTTCAGTAAATTTTTCAAATTTATCCTATGCTTCAAGCTACAAATCAGCCAATAAATTATTGGAATAGTTACATAAATAGAACTCTAAAATGACAAGAAAGTACTCAATAATATCCTGAACAAATCCAGATAGAACCATGTATTTGGTTTCTTAAGTCTTAAAGTCTGCATCCACTATCAACTACTCCAAACAATTAAGGAGAAAGTACACCTTTCAGTGCTAAAGAGGAGTAGAAACTACTCAAACAAATAAGCATCTTAAACCTTTTAAAGGAAAATTATTACTTCCACATCATCCTACACCTGTGTTATATACAAGCTACGAAGAATATAAGGACAGAAACCAAGAATATATGGACGGAATATGGCCCTGACAAGACAATACCTGACCAGATAGCTTTCATTAAACAAAAGGAAGACATCTTAAGAGCGTAGATCATTAACCCTTCTTTGCTTCTACTTCAGAATTAATCATATGCTCAACTACATATATACCTGTTCACCAGTTTCAGCCCTGACAGAAATAAAGGCACCCAAAGGCAGTGAAAATAAACTGAAAAATAAGTAGATAGTCATACACTAAAACAAGTATTAGCCAGGCCTTTTATTTAAATATTCAGCAGTACACTAAATCCTACCTTAATTGGAATATAAGGTGACAACAAAGTTGAGTTAACCCATAAAAAGACATAATTTGACAGAACTTCGGCAAACATAATATCAACTGACAGTGAAAGTAAGTAAATTACCTCTTTTCTGCTTCATCACTTGATCTTCTTAAATTGGTTTACAATAGTAATTTGAAGCCCTTAGACAAGAAATCATCCCTGATAACAGAAGCGAAGCCATGTTGATGAGTTAAACAAAATGCAACAATCAAAAACTATACAAGAAAAGTTACAGATCTTATCTTACCTCCGATTATTAGTATTTGTCTCCTCATGTGCGCTCTCTTGAAGAAATCTATTTGCATTAATTGGAACGAGGCTTCCAACATAAAGTTCTGTTTCGAAGGTAATTGGCATATTCTGAATCAAAACATTCTCCGCTTCCTTCTTGCTTGGATCATACCAGAAAAGGTTTATGTTGTCGTGTTCCATGAGAACTGCATTGCCACTCCTTGAATATGCTAGAGGTTTAAAGGGTCTCAGACTCCCAATAACTTCATGCTGAGAAATTGAAAATGATTTAGTCCAGGACTCCTTGACCCCATACTTCTTCATCACCCACACATCAGTATTCTGACCCTGAAAATTTCCAAGCAAACATAGGCATCCATGAAGAATCCCCATATCCATTTTAAAGTTTTTACCCATACCTTCAGGCTGTGGCACTTCCCTGTAATCCTCAACCCCTAAATCCAAAGCAACAATTACATCTGCAACATTTGATTCAGGACTTTGGCTCACAAGCCAATGCAAAGCGCCACTGACAAACATCCCATTGGCTCCAGGATAGAGAACAAAATAAGGCATATCTCCGATCCTTCTCCAAGAATTTCTTCTCAAACTATAAACCTTGACCTCAGACTCGATGCTTTTCTTATCCACTCCTGTAAACTGTGCAATCCTAACCACCTTAAAGTCATCCTTATTTTGATCATACCCAAGTCCAAAGACACAAACTCTACACGAACAAGTCCCAAAATAGCGATTGAGCTCGATGGATAAGTAGGGTAAAACATGGTACTTTCTAATAGATGGGTTCCAAAGAGCAATATCATCCACAACATTGCAAATGCAAAGCAACCCATTACAGGAACCCAAGATTTTGATGCTATGATTATAGCACATCAAAGGATGCTCCAGTTGTTTGAGGTTATCCAACAAATCGAAATCTACAGAGCAAAGCTCTGAATTCTTAACGATGATGTGTAGATTAGAGCTCGTAGCTAAGGAGTGCTTGAGATGTAAATTGATGAAATTGGGACCATCTATTAAAGCTCGCCATAGTTTAGATACGCACCTGAAGCAAAGAAGTTTCTTGGCGGGTAGCCGGCAGAGGATTTCGGCGAGCATGTCCCATGGCAGATTTGACATAATTTGGTGTCGTGCTTCTAGGGTTTGTAACGATTCTCTGCCGTAGCTGAAGAAATGAAAGGAAATTGCCGCACTTGTTAGATAAATAGGACAAAGGCACTTCCTTCAAATTGCAACTCGATACGTGTCTTCTTTACGTGATGTCTTATCTAATGAATCTGACTGTTGCGAGCATAATGGGTAATAATTACACTTTAAAATCAATTTAATCTTCAGACATTCAATTTTTCGGTTTATGTTAAAATTGTAGCCTAATTTGATTTTGGTCAAAATTAGACATTATAATATTATTATCCGTGGATTCACTGAATTTTGTTGAGTTCACTTAACCAGGGATGGTTAAGTGAAACTGTGCGTTTTGTTTAAATGAAAAAAATAAAAAAATAAAACCCTAAGCCACCAAATCCCCTTCTTCTCATCGTTTCTCCTCAACAAAAGCAGAGACAGCAGTATGGTCACCATGGGGATTTAATCGAGTCACGGCGAGTTCGACCAGTGATCCAGGAAGTTTGAGCACAGACTGATGAAGCTATTCCCCACCAAATCGATGCAGTCTCCTTTGCCCTAACTGATGTCCGGTAAAGCTTGTATGTCCTTTGATCAAAGAAGAATAGCCCAGATTTTCTGACCCCAATCCATGGTGTTTCGGCCATCAACGTTAAACGGTATAGGTACAAAAATATTCCCTGTATTATGAATTTCAGTTTGCTGGCATTGCTTTATAGTTTCATGATCGATTAAATGCCGGAATCCAATGGAAAACTAAACCAAATAGATTGTTTTAATTGAATCTGGGCATTCCTAGCTAAAACAAATATCATTTTGATTGTTGACACATGGACAAGAGGTAGTGATGGGAATTCAAAAAAAAAAAAAAAAAAAAACTAAACAAATAAGATTGTTTTAAATTGAATCTGGCATTCCTAGCTAAAACAAATATTCCATTTTGATTGTTGTTGACACATGGAACAAGAGGTAGTGAGGGAATTCCAAAGAAAAAAAAAAAAAAAAATCCTCACGCCATTCTCTATCTCTTTTCTCTGCAAATATGGAAATTCCAAACGAATAAAATCATTATTCTCCTTGATAAAAAAAAAAAAAAAAAAAAAATCCTCACCCATTCTCTTCTCTTTCTCTGCAAATATGGAAATTCCAAAAGAATAAAATCATTATTCTCCTTGATAATGAACTCTACAGCTCTGCTGAAATCCTAGTAATTGTTTTTCTATTAATCGGTGAGAAGGGATTTGAGTGGGTTAGGGTTTCTTTTGTTTTTAATCCCAAAACACACCGTTTCACTTAACCAGATGGTCAAGTGAACTCCACAAACTCTGGCGGGTCCCACAAATAATAATATTATAGTATCTAATTTGACCAAAACGAAGTTGGGCATAATTTTGACAAAAAAATAAAATAAAATTAGGATGCCTAACGGATTAAATTGGTTTTAGGGTATAACTGTGACAATACGCAAAAGTTTGAGTCGATGGTTTATTTAGTGGGTGACCAAAATTCGGTTTTCGAAACCAGAACCGTCGGTTTCGAACCGGTGGGAACCGAAATCAGAACCGATGGGAACTGGAACCGGTCTGAACTAGAATCGAAATCGGTCCAAACCGGTTCGGTTTTGGTTCCACCAATTTTGGAATCGTGAACCGGCGGTCCCAGCTCCAGTCGGAACCGACGGTTCTAGTTTCGTCCGAAATCGGCCGGAATCGTCCGAAACCAGCTAGAACCGGTCTGAAACCGGTCGAAACCGTCGAAAAATCGACTGGAAAATTGGTCGGAACTATATTTTTTTGGAACCATTGAGAAATCGGAACCATTCGGATCCAAATCATAACCGGAATCGTTAATTTTTGGTTCGGTTCCGGAACTGCCCGGAACCGAAACCGGCGGTTCCGGAACCGTGGCCACCCCTGGGTTTACCCGTAAAATATGAGTAAAGTTTTTTACGATACTGGTAACCTTAGGTGCTTCCCATGAACTTCGGCATTAAGCTTCAATAAAATTTTACTTTTTTTGAAATAATTATTAGATACATAAATTTGATCTGAACTTTGAACATTTTTTCTTGTGGCTCTTATGTTTTATTGTATTTAATTATTAAACTACATAATTACATTTCAGTAATAATTATATTCACTCATTTTCAAAGGCCGAATACATCATTTGCCTCCTGAACGTGGAAAAAGTCTTGTGGCCTCATTTACTTTCAATATGACCTTGTGGCACCTTAAAATTATAAAATTGTTAACATCACACCCTTATTAATCCAATCAGCAACGCGTGAATAGGCAAATTCTTTTTCTCTGCATGAAGTTGTAAAAACATTTATAGATGGCATTTTAAATCATGAAAAATATATATTTTTTTATTACTAAGTTAATCAGAATATTATTAAATTTATTTTTTTTCTCTCATCCTATTTTCTTTCTGTAAATTCACGTTCGAGTTGGTTATTTTCAAACTAAACCAATCTCATCTCTTTGCTGCGGTGACTGGGGTTGATGAGAGCAGTGGCCGATGAAGTTATTAAGGATGGCAGGAGGGTGTAATCTATGACCTTGATTGATCTCGCTAGCTTGTGACCGATCTTGCCGAAGAAGCAGAGAGTAGCGCTGAAGCGGAAAAGCATGACTGCGACTCGCTCTCTACTGCGCTAGCTAAAAGAGAAAGAGAGAGACTGGAGATGGAGTGAGCGAAAGAGGAACGACGACAAGAAGCTCTGGTTGGAGCGACTTAAGCTAAGGTCACCGAAAACGTCAAAAGAAAGGAGAAAGAGGATTGTCTCGATCGACAAGCCCCTTTGTCTCTCTCATTAGCGCCGCTTAAACAAGAACGAAGGCAGAAAGCGATAGCCAGAGGTGCCACCGGTGATGTGAGGTGGTTAGATTGGCAGAGCTTTGAGCTCCGGTGAAAGGAAAACAAATAGCATAGGGGTGGGGGCTGTGGTGCGATTAGGAAGGAGGAGAAGGGATTTCGGGTTAGTTGCTGATTTGATTTGGCTCGATTCATGAATTTTTGTTGCATATCCAATGTAGCAAAATTAATTGTGACTTAGAATTGTAATTTTCTATGTCATTCGCGCATGCTGTGCACAACCAATTTACTACTCTGACGAGGTGTGCAATTATTATAAAAAGAAAAATTTAGGGCTCCGCAAGGTCACTTTCAAAGTAAAGGAGACCATAAGACTTTTTTGCGCAAATTTAAGAGGCAAATGATCATTCGGCTCATTCTTAAAATGAAATAACTTTGGTGGAATTTAATTATTACCATACATTTTCATATTTCATTTTAGTGAGAGAAATAGTTATTTAATAAAATATGAAATTGAGGAAGAAAAGTGATTTTCTAAATAGTGAAATGATAAATTTAATTTACTTTTTATATGAAAGTACAATAGATAGAGACCAATTTTTAATTTTAGTTACTTTCATCAAATTTTCTCCTAAAAGATATTTTTCCTTCATGTTTTCTTTTCTCTCATACTATTTTTTACTCCTAAACAAGTGAACAAAAGAAATTCAGATGCCATTTTTTTTTTATTAAGTTTCTTGTTTTTGGTTTTTTTTTTTTTCGTTAAAAAATAAACAATATTTGTGTGTTTAAACTTGTTTAATTTTTCTTTCTTTACTTTTGAGTAAAATGTTTTGAAAATAAAAAATACAATTTATAAAACCACAAATAGTACTCTACAGAATTGTGTTGTCTATTTTTAATTCTACATTTTCATTTTTTCATTTTTATTAGATTTATCCTCATAAAATTATTGTTGTTAATTTTTTTAATTCTACATTTCATTTTTTCATTTTTATTAATTTATCCTCATAAAATTATTGGGGTTGTTATTAATTAACTATTTATTTCTCTATCTGATATAAGTTTGAAATGTCATTTTTTATTCAAAAACTACAGATATATTTTTTATCTCGATTCAGGTTCTCCAGTTTTTTTTTTTTTTTTCTATCTTTCTCTATTTAGTATTATTTTTTATATTTATTATTATTTTATCTATTTATATAATTAATGTATTTAGTATTATTATTTAATAATATTTAGATATTATATTTTTATTCAACATAATAATCAATAGTTACTGTAACATTGAAATTTTAAAATTAAATTATAAAATATTTTTAATTATTTCATGTGAAACTTTGGATTAAGAAAATTTATTATTAGCTAAAATCTTTAATGACTTAATAAGTGAGAGATTTGATAACTTGAAGAATTTTTCACATTGTGAATAATAACAGAAGAAAAATAAATTTTAGAAAAAAAAATAGTTTTTAAAAGCAAGTAACCAAAAACCTAAAAACTATTTAATGTTTCTAATAAATAAAAAACTCAAAACAAACAACTATAATAAACGGGACCAACAATAGTTTTCCTTTCCAATTATTTTTTCTCCCATGTTACTGTATATTACTAAGCAGCGTGGAAAATTAGTGTTGGCGTAACAATGATTTATCCATTTAGTTCTTTTACTTCTTGTTAATTATATATTTATCTTACTACATTTTTCTTTTTAACCCGTTTATTATTCTTTAATTATTTTTTGCCACAATATTACATTTCTACTCAATATTATTTTTCCACTTAATTTTTTTTATTATTCTTTAATTATTTTTTTATTCTTCTTTAATCATATTCGTTTCCACTTATAATTAATGGACTATTAATTTATATATAAAAAGTTATTAATGGTTAACTTTCTTTGTTAATTTGATTTTTTTTTTTAATCCAGTTAATCAATAAATGTCATATATCTTCTCTTATAAAGTGGAAATCATTAGAATTTGAAAATTTTGGTAGTTTACATAGATACATATTACTATTAACTATTAACCATCAAATATTAAATACTCATTCTATTCCATTTTGTTTGCATAGTTTGACAAAACACGCATATAAAGAATTTAGTCAACAAAAGTTGTTTTGTCCTTTTTTACCCTTAACTCATTATAATATTAATAAAAAGTCTTTCATTTAATAAAGGATCATAAGGCTATCATGAGAAAAATATTGCTTACGTGTATAAATTTAGAAATTTTGCAAATATTTTGGAACATCTAAAAAAAGAATAAGAAACAAACAAAATGGGACGGATGGGGTATTAAATATCGATAATGATTTTTTCTAAGCAAATAATGATTAATATTTTAAAGTTACATAAAGCTCTACTAATACTTTTTTTAGAATAATATTTTTTTATTCTTTTATTAATTCATTGAATAAAATAATAATATTTGAACCCAAAAATAATAATATTTATATAAATTTATATTTTTATAATATTTTTTATCTAAATTGACTTACATTAAAATTTAAAGATAAACAATTAATAAAATTAATTTTTAATTTTATTCGTATAAATTGCCCATTTTCATTTGGAAATATTATTGAAACGACACGAAAATTCAATTTCATAGAATTTTGATTTAAAAACTAAATTTTTATTCTAATCAATGAAATTCAGCAGAAAATATTCATTTATTGCTTTACCGGACCAGTAAACTAGGTTGAATTTTTCAAAAACTAAGTGAAAAATCCGTAAACAAAGCAAAATCGACCCAAATCACTGAATTGGACCAAATCGATTCAAATCAAACCAAAATGATCCAGAAAGCTCTAGAACTACTTTCTTTTCCTTTCTTTCTTCTTCTTCTTCCCTCTCCAGCGAGCACAGGTGCAACCCCCTCCCTCCTTCCCATTTTCGGCCACCAATCGACGGGAGCAAGGTGGCGATCGACTCCCCTGGAGCCGCTGGTCCCTTTTCCGGCCTCCTTCCACGCTAACAGAGCCTCTAGTGGCACAAATCGAGACTGTCTCCATTGACAGTTCTCGTTCTCCAATCTCCAACGACATCAGGCGACTCTGGCGACGTGAAGCTTCAAAGTGAGTCTCGATCGACTCAGTTACTCCATACGATCATCTTTCCTCAAATGATTTCGGCGATGGGGCATGGAGGACGAAACCACAGCAGCAACGACGAGAGGGTGACTGTCAAGCTCGTTCCGGCTAGTTAGGGGACTAACCTCGCGCAACTAACGCTAGAAATGGACTCCTTGGTAAACTTCGAGTAGGATGGTATGATCGTGGTTGAATTCTGGGCGATTTCAATTCTTCGGCCATCGTAGGTGTCGGCGAAGGCGATCCAGCGATCGGCTGGCGAGTCTCCGGCAGGTCCCAAGAGGCAGAATCTTCTTCTCGTGTGAATTGTGGAATCATCGTCCGAATTCGATTGGTACGCTCTAAGACCCAGTTTTTAATTTTTGGTATAAATTTCAAGTTTAAATTTATTGGGTAATTTAGTTGATTTCAAATAGATAATTAATTGCGGGACTTTGAAATGTTAGGTTTTGAAGTTGTGAATTAGTTAGAGATGTTAGGAGGATTTAAACATAGGTTTCAGTGGTTAGAATTTGGAACTTTATAGATGCATTTAAGTGTATAATTGGATCTAGCTAGCATTATAAAATAATCAGGATTGTTATTCGTATGATTTAAAATTAATAGAAGTTTTGGTTTTACACATATATATAAAACCTTGAATTAGTTATTTTTTAATATGAAATATGAACCTAGTAGCAAGTAGTTGGCTATCTATTAACTAAATTGCAAATTAATTGTTATTTGGAAATATATGTATACTTTAAACTAGAAGGATGTGGAGGTAAGGTAAATGTTTATATTTGAAAAGAGATAACATAGTGGAAGATTTCAAGATGAGTCTTGAGGAGTGGATGTAGGCGAGTTAGAGCTGAACCACTATCAATCTCCATGTTTATCTTCTTTTATTTTCTGAAGTGTTGGTTGATTATATTCTATTTACACAACTGTTAATCTGTTTAGAAATGCAAAGTTGCTAATGAGTTTCTGATTCTAAACGTGAATAAGCTTTATCTCTGTGGAACATTAGAGTTCTGGATTTCCGTATTGTGAATATACCAAGTTCCAATCTGCCTTTCAACATTCAGTATAAATCACAATATACGTAATAATCAGTTAGTCTAAAATTGCTTAACCTTTGTGAAGCTGTTCTAATCGCAATAGTAATTCTTCACAGAGTCTTTTTAAACTTGGCTAAGCTTTGTGGAGTAGTTCTAAATGCAATAACTATTCTTCACAGAGTTATTCTAAAATTGCTTAAGCTTTGTGAAGCTGTTCTAATCGCAATAGAAGCTTTGTGGAGTAGTTCTAAATTGCAATTAACTATTCTTTCACAGAAGCTAAATGCAATAACTATTCTTCACAGAGTTATTCTAAAATTGCTTAAGCTTTGTGAAGCTGTTCTAATCGCAATAGCTGTTCTTCACAGAGTCTTTTTAAACTTGCTTAAGCTTTGTGAAGTAGTTCTAAATGCAATAACTATTCTTCACAGAGTTTTTCTAAATTTGTTTAACCTTTGTGAAGCAGTTCTAAATATAATAATTGTTCTCACATGGTTTTTCTAATCTTGCTATAAGCTTTGTGAGGAAGTTCTAAACTTGATAATTAACTCTCATAAATGCTTTCTAATTCCGCTGCAACAGAATTCTGATTTTTGTTTTTGAAAGTTAGTTTAAATTTTAGAAAATCCAATTCACCCCCTCTTGGGTTTTTTCTAATTCCGCTGCAACAGAATTCTGATTTTTGTTTTTGAAAGTTAAATTTTTAGAAAATCCAATTCACCCCCCTCTTGGGTTGTGCCATGCATAAACATGACCCATAATAACTTCAGTTGGTTGAGTGTCTGGCACCATCGGAGGCACCTCTTTCCCCAAGCTCTATGCGACAACTTTCTTTTTCATGGCCTCGGCAACTTTAGCCAACTTAGAACCCTTTGACTTCTTTGGAACCATATCTGCATCAAAGAAAAAGAAAAAAAAGGAAAATTAAAGAATGTTAGTATAAGGACAATACTTAAAACAAATGAAAGCAGTATATACCAGAAATGAAAGACTGGGGTCCTATGGGTCCACTATAAGGTCGAACTTGGTAGCCCTCGGCAATAATTTGCTTCAAATTCACCGTTCTCAACCCGCTGGACTTTATCAATTCTGCCCACATCAAATCATCTGAGGTAGGCGAAGTAGGATGGTGCTTATGAGTTCGCCAGACCACCGGGTAGGAACACCAAACCCTCCAGCTTGGTGAATAATGAAAAACTTATGCTTCCAATTCTTTAAAGATGATATCTCTGAAGACTTATAAAATAGGTTGCAATCTTTCCTAGCTTGAAGGAAGCAATGATCCTCGGTCAGCCGA